CCAGTGATTTTACCCATGGCTAAAGTGAAAATAAACTATAGAGACTGGGTTAGAATTTGGGATGTGGAAATCTCTGATCAAATTCCAGCATCTTGTTTAATTGGGCTAGATCTCACTAAGCATGTGCAGAGTATTTGTGAAGTAACAGGTTCCCTAAGAGAGCAGTTGGCAATCCCTGAGGGAAAAATGGAATCCCAAACCTCTGAATCTATCCAGGGATGCCCCAAGTTAGAAAAGAACCATGAAGTAACCAAAATGGCTGATGAGGTTAATTTGAAAAACCCTAATCATCCTTCCTGTATCTATGAACAGATGGAAGATGGTACTTTAAAGGATTGTACTACTAAAGTTAGAGAGAATCCGATTCCTCTGACCCCTGAACACCCAGAGAGATCAATGACTGATAAAGACTTGACAGATAGAGCTGGTTTACATTTGAGAGAGCATGTTAAGAGTGCTTTTGTACTTGCACGCTCACAAGGGGGCCAGGAATCACTCACTGAAGCAGAAATGGTTACAGTAGCAAAGGGAAGCCTGGAGGGAGAAAGAAACTGATCTCATGCTTGTGAAAACTCCAAATAAAGTTTGGCTCAGGACCGCAAGGAGGAAATCAGTTTGGTGAGTTGCTTTGAAACAGCCACCAGTACACCCACTTTATTATCTCCTGAATGCCCTGAAAGGTCTTGCCTGGATAAGGAGCTTTTATATAGGAAAAAGTCCTTAGAAGTGGCAGAGCCAAGCTTTGGAAGTACTCCTGGAAAAGAGAAAGGCTTGAATGAGACCCAGGAAAGAGTATTCTGTCCTGAGGATGAAGTAGTAGAACTGACAACTATAGAGGGGAGAGAATTGCTTTTTGGCAAGGGAGGAACAAGTAGACCTTAAGACCTTGCAAGACAAACCCCTACCTAGCTTATCTATGAATGAAAAAATAGAATCAGATAACATGCTCAGTGCATCTAAAACAAAGCAATCGTTTATGATTGCACTTGAAAGACACTCACCTGAGAATCTTAAAGTGACCCGTGATAGTGGTCCCCCACATAGGGAAAACTTTGTAATAAAAATACCTGTGAGTGAATATGTGAGTGAGGAGGAAGATGTAAGCCCTGATGCTTTAAAGAGGGACGCATCTAAAGATGTTCGGGAGGAGGAGAGGGAACTACCTACCCTTTCCCCAGTTGAGAAGGTGAAGCCCCGAGCCCGACTTAAAGCAGGCTTCACTATAAAGCAACCAGCAGACAACATCTAGGGTTCAACCGAGTGGCCGATGACCGCCAATTGACAGAAAAGGTTGCGGAGGAAGGAGCCAGTGGTCGACAGAGGGACTCCTGAGTGCCAGCAGAGGTGTGTCCATCTGAAGGAGATGACAACATCCAGACCAGTCCACGGTGCACCAGAGTACTACGAAAAAGTGAGAGACTTGGACTTTGCAAATTTTGCCTTTGCACCAGAGACTCAGATAGTGCCTTGAAAGCCCAATGACTGATGGGGGTGGATAACCCAAGCTGATATTGTATTATAAATGTTCTGTTTGTAAAGGTGATGAAAAAATGAATTTGATGGACAGAAATGTACAGAATGATTCAAGGACTTTTATTATAAACTGAAATGGACTATAATTCACAGTTTATTAATGTAGAAGTTTCATAATTGTGATTTCTGTATGGTTGAAAAGGTTAAAAGTAAATGATAAGGTAAAGTATATTATTGAATAGTAGTGAAATCTTTAGAGTATAAGATATAGTAATTGTTATGCTAAATGTTTTACATGGTAAGTAAAGTTAAATGCAAGTGTGCCTGTTTGTTTGGGAGGAAAAACATGTTTCCCCTCCCAAACAAACATATTTAAGGGGGGGCTCTGTAGCATTCCCCTTTTTTAGGTCAATGGTTCATGTTTTGTTATGTAATTGTTCATGCATATTCATGTTGCTGAGAGGTGGAGCCAAGAGAGATGTTATAAGAGGCGGAGTCAGATTGAGTCAGGAAGGTCAGAGAAAGAGAGTTTTGGAGAGAGAAGTACAGTCAACCCTCGACTTACGAATGCCCCTATTTACGAACATTTTGACTTACCACTGCAGCTTTCAGAGGTTCCCGGCCAGTCCTCCCAGCACCATCGGAAGTAAAAAGTCACTTACCAGGTACTGTGGACCGAGCCTGGCCTCGGAACAGCCAGAAAAAGAGCAGAGAGGTGGCGGCAATTTTGGAGGCAGTGGCCATTTTGAGAGGCGACCACATGGCTGGCTGTCTCTCAAGATGGCTGCTGTCTCTCCGGGATGGCTGCAGCCTGCTTGCTGGTTGCTGACTCAGCTGTTGGGCGCTCTTTTTCCGGCTGTTCCACGGATGCGGGGGGTGCTGTGAGGAGCCAGGCTCGGTCTGCAGTACCTGGTAAATGACTTTGTTTTAATTTTTTGTTGTTTATGACTTTTTTTCACATAGGAACGCATTAAGTAAATTTCAATGCATTCCTATGTGAAATCTGGATTCGACTTACAAACTTTTCCATTTACGAACATCCTTCTGGAACGGATTAAGTTCGTAAGTTGAGGGGTGCCTGTAGATAGAGTGTGGAGTTTGGGGAATTCTGAGGTGTGATTAAAGTTAGTGTATTATCAAATAGAAGGTTGTTGTTAATTATAAATTTACCTAAAGAAGATATTCATGAATCGCTATCAATTTCTGTAATCAATAAACAAAAGTTATATGTAAAAGACTTTGAAGTGTGGACCTGAATCTTCATCTTCCTGAAGTAATGGTGATTTAGTGGTCACCTGGAGGCAGCAGTGTAAACGAGGGGATTGTTTGCCTTCATGTGCTCTGAGTCTTGACGGTCAAGTAAGGGGCACGAGGGTGAACGCCACACTATGAAATCAGATTATGCAATCAGATTTAAGCCAGTGCAAATTAGCATAACTACAAATACATTTCACTGACATATTCCGTTAGTACTTTGCTTGTACTTGGCTAAATCAGATTTTCCATGTGCAAACAAGCAGTACTGTATAAAGTTATTTATATGCTTAGGGCCTGTTATCTGTTTTAAGTAATACAACTCTTGTGGTCAAACGCTTGTTCTTGATTTTTCTCCCAATTGAAAGCTTTTCGCTCTTCCTTTCACTTTTAAAGTGTGTCACAGCAATTTAGAATCACTGCACTGACACTATTCAAAAATATACTTAGAGGAGGAAAGCATTTATGTAAACACAACCTCCACAGCTTGATAGATGGAATGGGGGCAAGAGGAGCAACTGAGACAACAGCTACTTTTCTAAGATGTGCATAAATGAGGCAGTACAAACCTAGCAGCCTAAAATTAGAATAAATGAGAAGCTATCCCACTGCTCGAAGACATACCATATGCAAGGGGCTTTTTAAAACTCAACAGTTCACATTCTCTTTTCAAACATACATGCAGCTAGTACATTTTTGCTTTGGAATTGTTTTTTTTAAAAATGAGATAATTTTTGTTCAAGGAATTACTTAATTTGAAAGGTAATATTCATTACTACATGGGCTCTGCTTTTTCTGTGTTTTACGTTCTTTTGATCGAATGAGTCAAAACATTCTGCATCACATTAGCCAGCATGCATACAGTTACTGAACCAGTCAATGAACACTCTCTTTTGACAACGCACACAGGACGACATATAATGAAAATTAAAGGGCAAGGAATGTGTTAACTGGATACAGCTACTGAGGAACACCTCTCTAGAAAGATAATTTCCTCCACAATTCGGCAATACGGTAAGATTATCATTCAAGGTGTGACGAGCTTTACAGTCTTCTTATGCAAAGGCTACCAGTGTCTACGGTCACTGAAAAGAGAAGAAGGAAAACATTAGTATTCACTCTTAAGTAATAAATCTTAATCTAAAAGCAGGATGAATATATACATGTCAGAATTATCCAGAATTCATGTGATGACATAGCAAACCATCCACAACTCAATCAATCAATCAATCAACCAACGGTTCATATCTGTGCCAAAAGAGGAATATTAACCTTTAAGGAACTAACTGCACAGTAAGGAATAAGATGCAAAAGAACTAAGATTATTTAGATGTCTATAAAAATAGAAGTTGATGACAATGGAATAAAAGAGTAAGAATATGAAAATGACTCACTTCACTTCAAGAACTTAATTTCTGTATCAACACAGTCATAGAAAAGGTCCTCTACTTCAGAAGGATCAAGAACCTCAGAACTATTAAGAATGCTCTCCATTGCTTCCAAACCTTGTCTTTCAAGGTCTAACATTGTTCTTCTTAGCTTCTGACTTTTATCCTAAGAGAAACAATGACCAACAGAAATGCCTATTAATGTAATTTACATCTAGAATCATATGAATGCTTCTATGTGTATTCACGTGTAAACTCCCAGGGAACACCTAGGTTTTGTCTGCTGTGTATTCAAATAGTAGCCCAACAGCAATTTTGTTCATCTCAGTTAATTCAGAATGAGTTTATTCCTTCCAAGCTTTTTCATAATGTTGGGGGAGATGGCTGGGTTTTTCCCAGGTATACTTTGAAAGAAACCAGCCTAGCTTTCAGGTGCTGCAGTCCAGTAAAATTCAGAGGACTGTGTGTTCCCAACTCCTGCAGGTAAGTCACATTACTTATTTAGGTTCCAAGAACGTAAGAATGTAATATTTATAGCATATGTCACATTGATATTAGTAACAGTCTCCTATATGATCTCCCTGAATGTTTTTTTTTCAAATGAAAGAAAAATGTAAGGAGAAAACATTTTAAGCAGTGGTGGATGAGCATATTCTTTAGAAATGTAGAACACAGTTTATTTTGGATTCTCAAGATCAAAACATACAATCAAAACACACTAACCTGTATCCTAAATAATATTTGACCAGTTTAATTATTAATTACATAGGAAACAATTATTAACAGCTACTCTCACTGATTTCTCAAAGCTGCCACTTTTTAAAAAAATCTATGGGCTGAAATCCCATTGAGAGTCCCAGCTAGACTTGTTATTGTCATGTGCTGTCAAGTTGCTTCTGACTTAAGGCAAAACCTAATAAGGTTTTGGAGGAAAGCGAGTTATACAGGAAATGATTGCTGCCACACCACCCAGTGAATTTTCATGGCCAAGTGGGAATGTCATCTCAAGTCTCCTGAGTCTCAGTGTGACCCATTACACCACACTGGATCTCAACAGACTTACTGAATCAATGGCATTCACATTGTTGACTCCTCAGCTACCAACCCATTCAGTGGTTCTATCTGGGAGCAACAATTAGATTTAAACCTTATATTTCTGCCCTAGAAGGATCAGTAATACTCCCTTCTGAGTGGTTTCAGAAAAATGCATTAATGCCCTTCAGTAAAAGGGAGCCAAGACCAATAATGCACAAATAATTGTGAAGGGATTTCAATTTGGTGAGTAATCTGGACACCGCACAGAGTTTTCTGTTCATGCATCCTAAAATGCCACAGCTTGTTTTGATGCTAGAGTTCATCTGACTTCTCAGCTGACTGACCCCAATGTTCTCCTCTCTAGCTTCTGGGCAGTCTTGTGTTTGCTGTGGGTAACCAAGTAGCAGGGTATGGACATTTGCCTCTGCTGCCAGAGAGATTCATTACAGATCTGAGGATGCTTTCCTTGTGATGCTATGATTTTTGGGAAGGGATTTGAGGAAGAAACTAGTCTTCAGCAAGAGTAGAAGGTCTCTCCTGTTGCTACTTACATTCAATGCAACACTCTAGAAACAGACCACAGATCAGGACAACCAACAAGAAGGTTCACTTCTGGAGACCAAAATGTTGCTAGGAAAACCCAGCAGCAGCTTTTTTACCAGCTTTCAGGAATTTTGAAGTTCATCCAGTGGTGGGATTCAGCAGGCCAACAAACGGTTCTGCAGAATCAATAATACATTAGCTACCGGTTCTGTAGAACTGGTGCGAACCTGCTGAATCCCACCACTGGCCAGGATCAGTGGTGGGATTCAGCAGACCAACAAACAGTTCTGCAGAACCAATAATACATTAGCTACCGGTTCTGTAGAACTGGTGCGAACCTGCTGAATCCCACCACTGAGTTCATCTAAAAGCTTCAAAATTAGTTCGCTTTCCACTCCAGTTAAATTCTCTTGAGAAATAGTAAGTTACCAAGGAAGTTGCATCCAGTCTAATAAAAATCTTGGGGCTAATTGTACTGCTGCCTGCATTCAACCCTCCAGGCACTCAGAGTTCACCAACAAATTCAACCATTATTAAGTGCAAAGCTGTCAGAAAAATGTATAGCTACGCTCTTTGTTTTCTAGGTTATGTTGATTAACAGGGGCCAGAAATCTCCCTTGGGAATGCCTCTCACTTCTAAAATAACTAGACATTGGTTTTATTATTATTATCATTTTAAGTACAGAGTTGGACACTTCATGGTGTTGTGGTTATTGAAGGATGTCATTATTTGTTCATTCATTTCTGAACCAAAACTAACCTAGATGATTGAGAGCCAGCTGAAATGACACTAAGCCAACTGAAGCTCTGCTGAACACAAACTCATCCCCATCTATAGATACTGAGAATTATTTAGGATTAGTTTCACCTTGGCCTAATTTTGTGTCGGCAGAGGGGCTGTATCCCTGGGTCAAAGAAGATTTAGATGTGGTGCAACTCACATCTTCCCTTGCTCTGCCCCTTCTTTACCCCTCATTTGGCTCTTCTGCCAATGTATAGCTTAGCCAGCATAGCAATTCTGCTGGCAGATCCCAGAGATGAGTTAACAGCAGAGGGTTCTCACAACCTAAGGGTTTGTTGTTGTAGTTGTTTTTGGTAGAATACATTTCTGCCTGTCATCTTGGAGTTATAATTGCACTCATTTAGTCATTAGTACTTTTGCTGAATATATTACATTTTTCTAAATTTATAAGAGAGATAGGAAGAGATAGGAATTAAATGCCATTACTATCAATAGAGGTGAACTATATTTATAGAAATAATCCATGACACAGCCATTTCTGGTTTGCATTACTATTGAGAGGTGGACTGCATTTCTGAATGCTGCCTATATTGGAGGAAAAAGACAAAATCTGAATGCAGAAAACAATCACAGATGAGGATAACTTGTGAAACCTCTTATACTGCCCAGACAGTGAGCCATTCTTTCTTTTGATTGTTTACTGTGATCAGACCTCAGAAAAGCTAATTTTTTGAGTATGGTGTGCAGACTGCCCCAATGAACACTGCCTCTCCAAATGCTGACTGTGATCTAAAACACTATTTAATTTTTGACTCATAATGGCTCTGTTTGCAAAAAATTGATTACACAAGTCTTACCTCATCATTCTCTATGACTGACCAGGCCCATCTGTGTGCCTTGTACAGTTCATGTCTGCGGTCTGGCTTCTCTTGAAACCGGGGAACTTTTTTTACAGGATCATCACTACCAAAAATGGGTGACTGAACTTTTGGTACTAATTTCACATCACCAACAAAGATGAAAGGTTTAAATATGGACCTAGAAAAGATCAGAAGTGTTACCAATCAATAACAAAACTTTTTAGTGCTTGTGCAAAGAAGTAAGAACATGAAACGCAATTAACTTGGATTTATAAGAAGCAGAAGAAGCAGAAGAATTAACAGTAATACAAGTAAATAAGCTTTCAAAAAGACTGGGCAGAATACTACTGGGCTTGCACAGCATACATGCAAAACTGCTTAATTGGTGCATGCAATCATTCTGGTTGGCTGTCACCTACTGAGACATATTTGTGTTGCACATTCAGTTGTGTACATAGGTGTGGGGTGAACACACAACAAAAACAATTTATGCAGTTTCTTTTACAAATGTGGTACAGTGGGGTCTCTACTTAAGAACGTCTCTACTTAAGAACAATCCAACTTAAGAACAGCTCCATTTGCTAAATTTTGATTCTACTTGAGAACAGAAATCCAAGATAAGAACAGGAAAAAAAAAACTTTCCTGCTCTTTTTTTAACCTTAGGTCATCTTAGGTTAAAAAAAATTCTCCCCCTAGTGGTAGAGTACGTATTAACCAGCTTCAATGTACGAACGCACCTCTACATAACAAAAAAAACAGCCAGAACGGATTAATTGGTTTTCAGTCCATTCCTATGGGAAATTTTGCTTCAACTTAAGAACGTTTCAACTTAAGAACACCATTCCAAAACGGATTAAGTTCTTAAGTAGAGGTTCCACTGTAGTTTCTATGGACGGAAAAGAGCAGATACGGATTAAATGGTTTTCAATGCATTCCTATGGGAAATGCAGATTCAACATAAGAACTTTTCAACTTGAGAACCACCTTCCAATACGGATTAAGTTCTTAAGTAGAGACCCCACTGTACTTCACAATATAATTCTCTTATGTTTACTTTCATCAACAGATATTCGTCAGAAAATATTAATGGAGACATTTGCTTGCATAAGTATTATTTGATAAATCACAGCACTTGCTAAAAGTTAATGAGCCACCACTTGTATTCCTGTTCACATCCCAAGACTGGAATGTGACAAAGAATGCAAACTGTATTTAATTAATTAGCAGCAGTTCGCTGCTGTGGTTCATGTGATAGTACCTACAGTGGCATAAATCTCCAACAGGAATACAGGCATACATCCATATCAAAGTGTACAGATGTTATTCCTTCTGAATTGTGCATTTTTACAGTAGGTGAAATTTTGCTAGCTTTTTGGATTTTTAAACTATACATGGGTTGCAGGGTGATGAGCAAGAATAACAAGTGTGCCTCCTTCTCAGCCATGCTCCAATCAATGTTATGACAATTGCAACATACTCTTTCCTGGAGGGGGGGGAGACAGAATTCATTTTTTTCTCTCTGCTTATTTCTCTTCCCACTTTGTTCCTTTTTTATTATTATATTTGTTTTATTTATCAAAGATACCATACTGAACGATTTCTTCTAATATGAATCCTTCTTCCATTACAAAACACATCACTCTGAGCAAGCAATAATGCTACAATTAGGACAATTAAAGGGTAAGACCTACTGTAAAGAATGCTAATGATAAACGATTGATCTTTTGCATCAGGATTTGCAAAATGGATGCTATTTTCCCAAAATGTTTAGGGAGTTTATTGGGATTATCATCAACTGCAATCAGTAGAACAGCTGTAAACCCTCAACCTGAAAAATGACAAGAACGATCCAAACAGTTGTATTGACAGAAAGACAAACCCCTTTTAGGAAACGTTGAATCAAATGTGACTTGGGTATCGTTTTTGCAGTAAATAGTCTTTAATGAAGGAAGGATGCCAGCAAAAAGAGAGAGAGGAATATACTATTACTTCCACTTTTCCTTTCTAAGGGGAACATATTAATCTATTCAAGGTATAAATCTGCTAGCAAAAGGCTCTTCCCTGCATCCTTTCTCATTAAGAGTGTTATCTGCACTACAAGTATACTTTCTATATAAATTACATTACATTCAGAAGTACAAAGATGTGGCTGCCCCAGAGGTTGGACTTTTAACTCCTATCAGACCTACTAGTCTGGTCAATAACCAGAGTGATGCACTGGTGCATATTTTTGTGGCCCAGCAACAAGTGTCAAGACAGAAGTTCACCACACCCCAACTACTGCCCAGTGTGCACTGTCAAAGTCTTTTTTTAATGACACCTTCATGCAGAGTTTCCAAATGGGACAGTGTTGAAGGAAGGACCCTGGCAGAAAAGGGAATTTGATGGGCCACTTTGCATACGCTTTGCATCAGTGTGATAAAGCACAGTATGAAGAAGTGCTGACACACTGAAAGCAGAAGGCAATCCTAGCCTCAAAGTCAATATGATAAAGCAATAGAGGGCAAGCAGGTGTGCACAATCCACTTGGTGAGTCAACCTGCCTTGTGGTTACAGCCATAGGCTGAGGGCAACGTGCTAACAGAGCTGCAATATTTAAATGGAAGCAGGTGATACCCAAGATAGTATCAGCTCAACCCTGCATTTCTCCATCTAGACTTATGGCACCACTTGCAGAAATGAGTTCAGGCAAACAACAGCATCTCTGAATATTTCCCTGCAATGATTAAATCTGCATCAGAACAATGTGGATTTAACTTGGATGGAGAGATTTTTCAGACACCGAATAAAAGGTTGATCCCTGAGATTTAAAATAATAATAATAACCACCCCAAACCCTAGTATTGGATGGCAGACATTCTTCTAATATACCTTGATGGGTCTGGTGTGCCAGTGAAATAATGGATACATGGGGAACTAGGATTCTGAGGTAATACAGATACCATGCTTCCTGTTGTAAGAAATGATTCTGAATCCACACATATACCGCCAGAGCTGTCCCTCAATATGTCAATCATTGTTTGCACAGTGATGTTGCCTGGGGGGGAAATTAAAGAAACATAAGCACATTCCTTTTTGGCTGGGGCTGAAGACACACTTTTACTTGCTTTTAACAAAAGACCCTGGCACATACAACCATCCACGATTTTTGGAACATTCATATTCTTTTCTACAGCATCCACAGCTCTGTGGTGGTCAGCCTGATAAAGACCCATACAAGGCTAAAATCTAGCTTATATTTGTGATTTTTGTTGATCTAATAAAGGTATCACCTGCCCTTGTCTTCGGACACATTATAAAGAGAGAGAGAGAATCATATTTACATAACGTAGCAACAAAACCCAAAAAGCTTATGCAGTAATCTAGTAAATTAGCACTAATGTGAAGGGGAAGAGAATCCACAATTTAAGAAAATTTTAAAATGAATACACGTGGACACACAAGAAACTGAAAACAATTAAATACATAACTTAGGTGGAGGAAATTTAAAGGATTAGCAAAGCAAAATGTTTTGCAATACATAGTACTGGAAAAGTGTGTAAGGTAAATAAAATGTACGAACAATGAATAAAGAGGAAAAGAGGCTCTTAAACTAATTATGGGGGAAAGGATAAATTAAACTAGTCAGGCTCAGCCATTCTAAGCCATAATGAAATCAAAACCAATTAAAAGGCAAAACTGGGTATTGAGAAGAAAAGTACTGAAATGTAAGTCCAATAAATATTATAACACTAACAACTGTAAATATTCTTTTAAAAATGGCCACAAACCCTGTGGTTTATTTATTTATTTGATTTATACCCCACAAAATCCCCCAAAAGAAGAAGCAGTGTTGCAAGCCCTCTTCATACTTTGGACTACACTGAAGTAGTCCAAAAAATGAACAGAGTTTTAACTACAAGTCACAGAATCCTCCAGCCAGCACTGGCTGTGGTGGCACAGGAATTCTGGGAATGGCAATTAAAAAAAAAAAACCTAATGGTTCCAAACACTGTGAACAAAAGTATCAAAACTTGAGGTGAGATGAGAAAAGATTTCCTACTTACCTTCTTGCTTCTCTAGACTCTCCTTTCCCAAACAACAATCTGAATGACTGTCAGACTGAGAAAAGACTTTAGCAAAGTTAAACTCTGTATCTGCAGACCACCATCCTTGACTTTCAGCATAATTTCTAAGCTCAGGATGCTCTGCATCAATTTTTGTGGTTAAGGATAGCTGGTTGCAAATGCACTTTACACCCTCTAGGAAAAAAAATAACACAAAGAAATAGTTTGTTTGTTTTTAAAAAAAGAAAACTATATATATCATCCTGTAATGTTGGAATACGTTGTGCCTTGCTTAACGATTGCCTCGCTTAACGAGGAAATCGCTATATGATTAGGTTTTTGCGATCGCTTTTGTGATCGCAAAACAATGGTTTAAATGGGTTTTTTTTGTTTAACAATGTTCGGTTCCCTGCTTCGGGAACCAATTTTCGCTTTACAACGATCAGCAAACAGCTGATCGTCGGGTTTCAAAATGGCCACCGGCTGAAGAAAATGGCCCCCCGCTGTTTTCTAGGATGGATTCCTCGCTTTACAGGCACCGAAAATGGCTGCCGTATGGAGGATCTTTGCTCGATGAGCAGGGATTCAGCCCACTGGAACACATTGAACAGTTTTCAATGCGTTTCAATGGGTTTTTTTATTTCGTTTGCCGATGTTTTCACTCTACAGCGATTTCGCTGGAACGAATTAACATCGTCAAGTGAGGCACCACTGTAGTTAGATATGCAGATCACAAGGGCAAACTAAAGTATGCAGAGGTTACTTCTGGGGACTTCAGGTCCCTGAACCAACCAGCCTGCAGTGCCACTGCAGAATTCTGAGAGTTATAATCAAATAGAAATAAAGTCTTGGGTAACCCATCACCACCATGGGAAATGCATGGTATTGATTCCACATAAATAGCTGCTTAGGATTAACCATTCAGACGTCACTTCCGGCAGGACGGGATGCACAGCTGAGTCTTTGTCTCCTCGCCCTGCTGAATGTAAATAAGTTGCTAAATGCTTTTTTCCCTTCTCGAAATGTGAGTAAATCTGCTTAAATTCTTTGTGAAAAGTTCAAGCAGAGATAGAAGTGATTTTTAAACTGTAAAAGCCTGGCTGCTTATCTGGGGAATGTACTTTCGTTTTTGCTTGGAGGAACACCAGTGAAAGTTGAACAGCTAATGAGCTGTAAAAAAACTACCTTGTTTTCCTGTGTTATGAATCTTTTGCTTTGCTTATGAGAAAAAATAGAGATAAAGAGTTCTAAAAGTTGGACATGAGAGCTGCCAGAGAAAAAAACATCAGATCGTAGTCTCGAACACTTAAGACAAATAGAAGTGAAATCCCCCGCTCCTAAAGATGTTTCTAAAGAGACTCAGGAAGCTGCTGGAAAGGAGGGGGAGGGGCTACCTCTCTGAGCAGTCTTACTGAAGCCAACATAGAAAAAAGATTTCCGAATTGACAATCTGTGTAAAAGATCTGGCTAAAGATATGCCAGATTGATAGAAAACTGGAACAGGTTCATTCGAAAATCGACTCTTTAGTGAAAGAATGTCAACAGATGGGAAAGGACACGAAAGCAGTCCAGAGAGAAGTACAGAAGATGAAGGCAAGCATAGAAAAAATGGAGGACAGCGTAAAGCAAATGGAAGATTAATCAAAACAGAATGAAGGGAAAACAAAGGCACAACAACAGAAGATAGACGATTTGCAAAAGAAAGTGATTTATCTGGAAGATAGCTCAAGACGTAACAACATCAAAACAATGAACTTTGAGCTGCAAAAAGGAGCTGACCTTAAGAATGAAGGGGTGACCTGGATAAATTCTATTATGAACTCCCAACATGTGGCTGAAGAGGATGTAGAGAGAATTCATTTTGTTGGCAACCCAGAAGCAAGAGACCAAGACCTATAATATTTAAATTTTTCAACTATGTTAATAAAAGAGCAATTTATCAAGGTCACTAAAGAAAAAAAATGGAACTATTAGTTTATAGGTCAAACCCAATACAGATTTATCAGGATTTAAGCAACGAATCAATACAGTGGAGAAAAATGATGAAACCTATTATATCAATTCTAATGAAGAATGGACAGAGATACAACTGGGGTCACCCAGTCTTTTTAAAAATATGGAAGGATGGAGTCCTTCTTAGAATCTTCTCTTCTGAAGAAGGCAAGGACTAGTTAGTTGCGTGGGGCCTATGGCAAGAAGATCAAGATGACCAGGGCGAAAGCAAGTAGGCCTGCAAGGAATGGAAACATGAAAGAGAAGATATCTGGACTGAGAGAAACCATTTGATACTTGAAGAGTTCCCCCCCCTTTTTCCCCCTTTTAAATTTTTATACTGCCCCTTTCTCCTCCTTTTTAAAGATCCCTCCTCTCCCTTTTTTGATTGGTTTTTCTTATTTGTTTGTTTTCCTTTTTTGTTGTTCGCTTTTTTTGTGGGGTTGGAGAAGAGAGAGGAAAGAGTAAAGGATAAGGGCGTTATGAGAAATAAGTAATGATGAAAGAAGGGAAGGTATTAAGGGGGGGTGAAACAGAGTGGGGTGATATAGGAATGAGGATTTGGCTGGGGTCCAGACTGGTGTGGGTGGCATCTCCCTCCCTCCTGGAGCTCACGTCAAACCTTAGTGAGGCGCGGGGAAGGGGGGGAGGAAAAGAGGTTACATGTAGAGTCGGAAGTTAGGGATAGGGGATTAGATAGGGAACAATGTGAATTTGTGGGGTTTTTTGGGTGTTTTTGTTTTATGGGATGCACAGCGGGACAAAAAAAGATGGGATGTAGAATGGCTATGGGGGAAAACATAAGGGTAGCTACTTTAAATATGAAAGGCCTAGGGTCTGTAACAAAGAGGAAGAGAACAGAAACATTATTGAAGAACAAGGTGGATATTATTTACCTACAAGAGACTCAGCAATTAAAGGATGGAGTTAATGAACTGAAATTACAAAATATACACATTTATGAAAAAGGATTTGGGACTTCCAAATCCAAAAGTGTAGCAATACTGATTTCTAAACATTGTGAATTTGTGGTAAAAGAAGTAGTAAAAGATAGTAATGGTAGATATTTGATAGTACCGGGTATAATGGGGGAAGAAGACTATACGTTAGTAAATGTTTATGCACCGAATACGAATCAAGGAGAATTTTATAAAACTGTTGTTAAAGAGATGGAGAAGGTTAGAAAGGGATATGTGATTATGGCATGAGATGTTAATATGGTTTTAGATAAGGTAAAGGATAAATCTGTATGTAAAAAAGATGAGCTGAATAAAAGAAGTACCCTCTTCAGTAAGATATTGAAAACTACAGATTTAAAAGATATATGGAGAGAACTGAAGGGAGATGAAACAAGGTTTATATATTATTCCTCTATACATAATAGTTATTCAATAATAGATTTTATGTTTATATCTCAAAATTTAATTTCTAAAGTAGTAGATACAAATATTAATGTGA